GAACATTTTTCTCGATCTGTTAATGCTTTTTTTGATAGAATTGATGCTAATATTATTACTTCTCTATAAATAATAATTAAAATTGAAGTTATAATAGCAATTGAAAAAATTATTTATACTACTAGATTAGTAGACCTCATNACCTCCTCATCAATAAATTGAAATATAAAGGAATAATCAAACAATATCAACAAAATGTCAATATCATGCAGCAGCTTCAAATCCAAAATGATGAATTTTTGAAAAGTGATTATTTAAATGTCGAATTAAACATACTAATAAAAAGGTAGTCCCAATTAATACATGAATTCCGTGAAAGCCTGTTGCTATAAAAAAGGTAGAACCATAAACTTGAGTCTGCAATTGTAAAAGGGGTTTCATATATCCATATGCTTGTAAAATAGTAAAATAAATACCTAATAGTACTGTAAAAAATAATCCTTGTGTGGCTTGTGAATGATTTCCTTCTATTAAACTATGGTGTGCTCATGTAACAGTTACTCCTGAAGCTAAAAGAATTGCTGTATTTAGTAAAGGAATTTGGAATGGATTAAAAGGTTTAATTCCTATAGGCGGTCATGACGCTCCTAGTTCAATAGCGGGTGATAAACTTCTATGAAAAAANGCTTCAATATATTCATATGCTTGTAAAATAGTAAAATAAATACCTAATAGTACTGTAAAAAATAACCCTTGTGTGGCTTGTGAGTGGTTTCCTTCTATTGAGCTATGATGTGCCCATGTAACAGTTACTCCTGAAGCTAAAATAATTGCTGTATTTAGTAAAGGAATTTGGAATGAATTAAAGGGTTTAATTCTTAAAGGCGGTCATGATGCTCCTAGTTCAATAGCATGATTCAAGAATTAAAGGTTTGCTCATTAGTGACATTTGAGTTTTGACACTCCCTTACAAAAGCTTTGCACACACACACGAACCCACACACAGTGCCTTGCTAAGGGAGCCGATTTTGTCAAGAGGGAGCGCGAAAACTGTTTTTTGAGCAAACCTTTTATTATTGAATCATGGTTCAATAGCAGGTGATAAACTTCTATGAAAAAAAGCTCAAAAAAAAAGATATTAAAAATAATACTTTAGATAAAATAAATAAAATTATACCTCATCGAAGGCCTAAAGTAACAGAAATAGTATGTAATCCTTGAAATGTACCTTCACGTGATACATCTCGTCATCATTGATAAACAGTTAAGATAGTAATAATATTTCCTAATACAAATAATGAAATATCATATTGATGAAATCATTTTACTAAACCTGAAACTGAAGTTATAGCACCGATGGCTCCTGTTAAAGGTCATGGGCTNCTAATGAAATATCATAATGATGGAATCATTTTACTAAACCTGAAACTGAAGTTATAGCACCAATGGCTCCTGTTAAAGGTCATGGGCTATAATCTACTAAGTGAAAGGGGTGATTAGCGTGTGTTGACATTAATTAACTTCTCTAGAGTATAATGTTCTTAATACAGCAAATACATAAGATTGGATAATTGCTACTGCTGATTCAAGAATTAATAGAGCAATTTGGCCAATTAAAAGTAAAGAAATAATTATATACGAAAGTGAAGGGCCTGTATTTCCTAATAATGTTAGTAGTAAATGTCCTGCAATTATATTAGCTGCTAATCGAACTGCTAAAGTTCCTGGGCGAATTACATTACTAATTGTTTCAATGCAAACTATAAAAGGTATTAAAATTGTTGGGGTTCCTTGTGGGACTAAATGAGCAAATATATGTTGAGTATTATTAATTCATCCGTAAATTATAAAACATAATCATAAAGGTAGGGCCAAAGTTAAAGTTAATGTTAAATGACTTGTTCTTGTNCTTATGACGGCTGCCACGTCGTCCGTGAAGGCGACAAGGAAGGCGCTCTCCTGCATTTCCGTGCGCAACAGACTGTCAGACGTGCCGCTCCGCCGGTTATACGTTTCTTGCTCTGACCTTGTGTTGTGTCGTACAAAAGCCAACGGTCTCTGAGGTGAACTTAGCCCTTACCATAATTATTTTAATTTTATTTTTTTTTCGTACGAGAGGGAAATGCTTTATGCACTGGCCGGGGGCGCTAGTCTCTATACTACCTTCTCCGAGCGTGGGACTCCCACCGAAGCGTGTTGGGCTACCCACTACAACCCAAACTCCCACTGCCCGCGCAAGAATCCCGCATCTGGCACCGCAATTCTGCATGTCTTCAGATGCAGGAGCGCGTTGTTAGAGCGTTGGGGCNGAACTTAGCCCTTACCATAATTATTTTAATTTTATTTTTTTTTCGTACGAGAGGGAAATGCTTTATGCACTGGCCGGGGGCGCTA